ACTCTGGTTGAATACTAACTATCAATCAGGTTCCTTACGTGTACGTTCCTAGCAAGCTCGCTCTGGGCCGTGCGACTGGCGTCTCCCGTCCCGTGATTGCGGCCAGCATCACCACCAACGAAGCCAGTGACCTGATGGGCCAGATCAGAACCATCAAGGACAAGGTCGAGAGACTGATGATCTAAACATTGTTTCGATCTGTGAATGAGTTAGGCAATTCCAGAGTTTTGCCCTTACAGTACGAGCTGGTAGTCAACATGGTCCAGACTGTAAGAGTGCATGAATCATCGAGTTAAATCACGAGTCTATCTTCACATTGGACTCGTGATACGCATGATTCCGGAGGAAGTTGTCAAGGGTTTGAATATTTCTGCCTCTACTTCTTCTGATGTCTTTGGATAATTGCTATATCTCGCTCGTCATATTGGGTGTCACCAATGAAGTGAGTTGTTTGACCACTCATCCCTCTTTTGGAGAATTACGTAGTGTAGGGAGATAGAAACAAAAAATAATCATTAGACATATTTCAACAGTAAGAACTAGATAGATAGAAGTGATGGAGAAATCATCTATGCGCCTTGGCACTGCAGGATGAGCGGGGTGACTAAACTGAACTAGTGAACCATAGACCGTCACTTGGCGGAGGCGTGTCTCATTCTGGCACCGACGACTTATCTGCATTTCAAGACAAACCACCTGGACTGGTTCCGACTCCTTGCTGGTAAAGGACATCCATTTCAAGATCTTTTTTCTTACTTTCATATATTTCTGCCAATTTTGATCTATCCAATCTCAAGTCTTAAGCATTGTGGCTGGTCCAGCAGTACACTCTATTTCGATCATCATCACTGATGCCTGCTCTACGAGCCGCCCTCGTATTATAGGGAGCTCTTGAAAGAGCCCTAGTTTCATTGCCTCGACCTGCCTTGTTTCTTTTTGGAGACTGCGGACGTCGAAGGTGGACATAGAGCAGCAATGTCTCTCCCGTCTATGACTTCACTGGCAGCCGCGGCTACAGCCATCGCAGTAATCAGCAGTGGCCCCCCAACATCATCCCCCACACCTTCCATACCTGTACCCTCTTACCTGGCTGGTCCGCATCATGATCCTGATGGAGAAGACAATGGAGAATGCAGACTGCTGGGTCCCTTTTCGATTCTCGTCCAAGCGGCACTCGGATCACTGGCGCTGTTGTCCTTGGTATACAAGCGCTGGAGGGAGAGACCCCAGCGGCCTGTGAAGGTGTGGGCATTTGACGTATCGAAACAAGTCTTTGGGTCGGCAATGCTACATCTTGCGAATCTACTCATGTCCATGTTCTCTGCCGGCCAGTTCGAAATCACGAGCAAATACAGACCGAATCCGTGCTCGTTCTATCTATTGAATTTGGGGATTGACGTGAGTAATTTCCGGACGTTTCAGAATTTACTGTGATGTAGGAGCTGACAATTGACCTCCGGATCAGACTACACTCGGAATCCCCATTCTCATCTTTATTCTTCACATTCTAAACCGCCTAGCGGCATATACTCCCCTTGCGAATCCCCCGGAATCGATCGAGTCTGGAAACTATGGCTCTCCGCCACGGGCCGCCTGGTGGTTCAAGCAGGCTATGATATACTTCTTTGGACTATTGGGAATGAAAATCTGCGTCTTCTTTCTCATTCAACTACTGCCCTTCATTGTCAAGATAGGTGACTGGGCATTGCGCTGGACAGAAGGGAACACAGCTCTGCAGATCATCTTCGTCATGCTGCTTTTCCCAGTGATCATGAACGCGATCCAGTACTACATCATCGATACTTTCATCAAGAAACCGCTATCTCGAACTCACGAGTTGCTCCAGGAAGACGATGAGGTGGAAGATGCTTTGCTGGATGACGGTCGAACACCGCGCAATACACTGCTGACTGACGTTGACGATGATGATACCTTTGGGCCGGATGAAGGTATTATAGGAAAGGATCTGAGCAAAGACCTGGAACCGCCCGTACGACCGAGCCGATTTGATCATAGCGAGTACGATCCGGCTGTTGATGGGGAGTATTTCTCCCCGGCGTCGTCGGCGTCTGCCAGCTCCAGCAGCAGTCATGGAGAATATGATGCAATGTCATCTTCGACAAAGCTTACACTTCAGAACAAGAGATCATGACGACCTTGTGCTTATGCGTCGGCGTTGGGTGCTTTATATGGATACATTTTATGCCGATGTCGCGGCCAGTCTTGCTCATTTTTTTGTTTGCGGCCTTATACACTTTGAGAACCTTGTTTATAGCGATCCAAACGACATGTATATGCTTTATTCCCACTCCAATAAGATATCACGACTCATCGTGCAATCGAAGCCAAGGGTAGTATATTAGGCATAGGGTAGAGTATGCAGATTTAGCGTGCCATTCTCTTTCCGCGGCAAAGGGTATTCCTGAACAATTATCCCACGACATATTGGAATAAACTGGTCACTTTCAATGTTTCAACTCTGTTGACCGTCACCAATATAGCTGTGTTGCTGCTTGAACCGCATCACCGCCCACCGCCAAGGTCACCGCCTTCTTCTGCCGTTGAAGCGAAAAGAAAATTATTGACAGGTCTTTAGACGGCCCGCTGACGATAGATATTTCATTCGATCAATACAATAATCTCACATTGCGATTTCTATATATGGTATATTTACAATTATATTGATTCAAACGGGTTTCCTATTATCGTCTGAGATTTTTCTCATCCCAACGACGGCAAGATGCCCAAAACCACCGTCACCGTCATGGAAAAGACCCGCCAAAAGACAACGGCAAACTCGCGCTCTCCATTTGAGAATGGAGCTTCGTCCAAACCTGTTAACGAGGGCGACGATTCCGACGTGGAAATGGAGGTCGACGGCGTTGAGACCGAGAAACTGCGCGAGAAGGATGAGACGGAGAAGAAGCTGGAGAGAATGCTCTTCGGTGATGACAAAGGTTTCATGGGCGCATTGAAGAGCCAGGATCGCGATATCATGGCGTTGATGGCGAAGAGCGATGAGGAGGGTAGTAGTGAAGAAGATGAGGGCGATGAATTTGACGATCGCGATTTGTCAGATGTTGCCGACGCAGATGTTTGTCCATCCTTACCCACAAGTGGGTGTGTGCGTGCTAATAGATTTACCTTCAGCTCTTCTTCCTCGATTCTGGCACTGCGCCAGTTGGTACTGAGCTTGCAGAGACTTCCGCGGCGGGGTCCGACTCTGAGGAAGACACAGAAGCGGAGGAGACGCATCGCGCGGTGTGGCACGACAGCGACGATGAGCGCCTCACGATTTCGCTGGCTAGTCACCAGAGGTTGAGGAAGTTGCGCGTCACCGAGGCGGAAGATGTCATCAGCGGCAAGGAGTATATCAAGCGACTTCGCAGACAGTTCGAGCAGCTGCACCCCGTACCGGACTGGGCCAACCCGGAATTGAACAAGAAACGGGCCGATTCGGACTCTGATCGTGACAGCGACATGGATACGGACGATGAGAATGAGCAGCTATCCACGCAACCGTTAGCCAAGCTGCTGCAAGGTGCTACTGATCTGACCAATCTCGGTGAAAGCACAGGCCCGGGAGGCAAGAGAAAATTGCGACAGGAGGTGATAGATATTCACAGACTTAAGGATGTTGGCAAGGATCAGCCGGTAAGTTTTCTGTGTCTGCGGCAACATTTCATGGTTTTGGTATTAACGCTTCTGCTTACCAGTCTTCCATCGACTCGCTCATGTTCCACCCTCACTATCCATTGCTTCTGTCTTCCGGACCTGCAGCAACGCTCTTCATCCATCACATCTCACCCTCTGCGGAGGCTCCCAATCCCCTTCTCACGTCACTCCACATCCGCCGTACGCCCATCCACACCTCCGCTTTTGCTCCCCCTACCGGTAACAAGATATTTGCCTCTGGTCGTCGACGATACTTCCACATTTGGGACCTCGATAGTGGCAAGGTCGACAAGGTCAATGGCACTGCGGATCGTAAAGAGGAACAGAAATCCATGGAGCGGTTCAAGCTCTCACCCTGTGGGCGGTATGTCGGACTGGTCGGCTCCTCTCGCAAAGGAGGCGGTATCATCAACATTCTGCACTCGGAGACGGCGCAGTGGATTGCCCAGGTTCGCGTGGACGGCCGTGGTGGTGTCGCCGATTTCGCCTGGTGGAGTGACGGAGAAGGTATGACTGTCGCGAGCAAGAACGGTGAGGTGTCTGAATGGGACGGACGTCTGAACCGGGTTGTGGCTCGCTGGATGGACGCCGGTGCTGTGGGCACGACGACACTCAGCCTTGGTGGACGTTCTGGACGGACACAGTTGGGTGGAGACCGCTGGGTTGCCATCGGAAGCTCCAGCGGTGTAGTCAACGTCTACGACCGTCGCGAATGGGCGGCCGCATATGCTGCACAGGCTGCCTCTTCCGAGACGTCGCCGATCCCCCGTAACCCGGAGCCTGTACGTGCCTTGGATCAACTTACCACACCCATCAGCCATCTGGTCTTTGCACCAGACGGGCAGTTCCTTGTTATGGCTAGTCGGTGGAAGCGGGACGCATTGAGATTAGGTATGCCTCTATTTCTGCCACTGCTTCAGGATCGATTTTACTGACTGACACACTACAGTTCACCTTCCCTCTTGTACAGTGTATCGCAACTGGCCGACATCCAACACGCCTTTTGGCCGTATCTCGTCAGTAGCTGTCTCGCCTTGCTCGGATCAGCTGGCAGTCGCCAACGAGCAGGGACGTATTCGACTCTGGGAGATTCGCGGGTAGAAGTGGATTCATGACATGAGCTTTTTGGAGGAGAGGAAAAGTTGTTCTTGTACAATTAGGGCATTTCGCATCGTATAGATCTAGCATACATTCAAACGATAAAGATCATCCGCACATATCACACGGCCATCGGCCATCAGCTTAAGCCGAACATTCAGACCGCATACTCCATTCCCGCCCCAAAGACACTGCTGAAACAAAAAAAGAAAAGACCCGAAACTCCATCACTCTGGAGACATTAATGAACTCAGCGATCCCATGACACCCTGCGCATAATCAGCACCTCATCCCACTGAAAGAGACCACCCTCGGAGGAAACGTATAACTTACATCAAGGCCGAGCTTTGATCCCGAAACAAATCATCAGTGTCTGCTCACATACAGCTAACAAATCCAAGGTAGGATAGACTTACCGAGTTCATAAGCTACCCCGTATATCACAAACATGGTCAGCAAACACGGAGGCCAGCACAAGCGTAATAACCAGAACCCGGTCCTCAAATATTTAACTTACCGAGCCAATGATATGAATCTTCTTGCACGCATCAGTTTAGCACACCTCGCATCAAGCAGAACAAGGGAAACCTAAAACCTACTTTCTTCCCATCCTTATTCTCCGAATTACTCGTCTTGCTCGTGGCCGTCGAGTTCGAGCTCGGGCTCGGGGCCGGCGCGAGCGTGGCGAGGAGCTTGTTCATGGGATCGAGCTGGACCGACCCGGCGGACGCAGACGGTGGTAAGAGTTTACCGCTGAGAGTCGGCACGAGGGTTGTGTCTGGTGGGAGGAGTTTGGTGGTCGGGGTGGGCACGGGGATGAGAGTTGGCATGAGAGTTGGCATGAGAGTTGGCATGAGGGTTGGCATGAGGGTTGGCTTGAGGGTGGTGTCTGTGTTCGTGCTGTTGCTGTCTCGTGCCCCTCGATGAGGAACGGCCAGGGCTGTCATGGCGATGGCCGTGGTGAGGACGGTAACGACGGCCTTCATCTCTGCTGGTTATTTGGAAAAGTAATTTGTTGCGTGGTTAGTTATTATGGGGAGTTGAGAGACGGGGGAAGGGGAAAAGAAAGCAGGGCTACCTTGTGGGTTTCGACAGGAATAAACAGCTAAGTTAAACGATGATAACAGCTGTCTTCCAAAGCTTAATGTCAACTGGAAAGAACAGAGAGTGCCACATGTTGTGTATATATATGGGCCTGTTGTCGGGTACGCATGGTACCCCAGGCTCCAGGTATCACAACAATGCAGTCCTGTGGATCAACCGATAAGACCCATCCCATCTGCCGGGGCAACGTGCCTGCCATAATGCCATAGAGTCTGGCATTTTATGACGGGATGTCGAATAATTATTCCGAAGACCGTGCTCCTTGCGGAGGCGCACTCGTCAGGTCATATGCAATAGAAACGGCAAGACGGCCATTCCCTATGGGTCCCGTCAATCAAATGTCGTAGATGGTGACGAAGAATTTGTTGCACTGTCGTCCAATTCGTCTGTTATCGAGACCAGTCTGTTTTGGGGTATTCGAACATTCCTGTCCTGCCTTCGGAATGCTGGGTTCCTTGGGCGAACCTGAACATGTCTGCAAGCCCAAATAGCTATTGAACAGCTCACCTTGTCTTTGATTGGGCATCTAGATCCCTTGACGAGGGCTCAGATTCTTCATGTCACTTGTCCGCTGCGGCGGATATTGAATGATTAATGCACAAATGATATTGGTAACTCAGAAGAGAGAAAACAAGGAGCGAGGCCGTTCCCTGGCAAGTTCACCTCCGTCAGTTGGCTGTCGATAAAGCTAAATATGTTAGCCTTCCAGCGCATTTGCAAGGATTGTGTTGGTAGCGTAATATCATTCATTGAGCCTGTATGTTGCTTGTATGTACAGACAGTTGCATTCCAATCGGGTCGTTCTATGGGGTCTGTAAGTCAAGAAAGACGACCATATGCATCCTCCATGACACCGAAAGATTCATAGTCTTTTATAGCGTTCATGGATATTTTTCGTCAAACCCAGGGCCGCTTCCACTTGCCATACCAAAACACCGTATCCAAAACAAAATTCGTCAACAGCCAATAAAAATTCCTTCCAAATGTCAGATATCAACATTTAAAGCAGTTTCTGCATTTCGTCCTTGTTCCGGATACCAGCCATGTTGCCGGCCTTGACACGCTTGAGGGTCAAGGCGGCGATCAGCGCGGCACCGACACCGGAACCATCCTCGGCCGCCATAACGGTAACCTTGTCCTTCTCGTTCGGGGCCCAGTCCAGAATTTCGCGCAGAGCCTGGGCACCACGAGCCTTGAAGTGAGGGTACTTAGTGAAGACGGAGCCGTCCGCACCAACGTGGCAGCTCTCGATGTTCTTCTTTTTGCAGATAGCGGCGACACCACAAGCCGACAGACGAGCCGCACGCGTACCGATCAACTCGGCCAGACGACGAATCATCTCGAGCTCGGCCAGAGTTGGCTTGATGTTCAATTCGCGCTCGAACAGCTCCTGTGTCTCCTGCAAGTTCTCGTATGGGTCCTCCTCGATGGCAGCCAGGAAGGAAGCGTCCAGCAGATACGGCTTCCGCAGCTTGCTGGTGTCCTGATTCTGGAAGATCAGTCCTGGTCTGCTGTCCAGGAGATCAATCAGGGCCAGACGGAAGATCTCTCCCAGGTAGAGACCGGCTGTCATCTTCTCGAAGGCCTGCTGACCGGGCCGGGGAGAGTCGCGGTCAATGATGTGATCGTACTTTGTGAGAGGAAGAACAACGTGCTCGTTATCGAAAGCGCCGTACTCGCAATTGATGGCCACTGGCATGTCTGGGGGCAGGTTCATGTGAGCCAGCTTAGGGACGGAGCCGACATCCTCCATGTAGGCCGCATTGACACCTGTACCAAAAATACACCCAATCTTCATCTCGGGATCAGTGTAGGCCGAGGCGATGAGTGTTCCAGTGGTATCGTTGATCAAAGCAGCGACCTTGATAGGAAGTCCCTGTAAAGCACACATGTTAGGTGTCTGTAGATTGCAAAGACAAGCAAGAGAGGGCATACCTTTCTCTTCAGTGTCTCCTCCAGCGGAGGGACAACATCCTCTCCCTCGACACCATCAATGTCGAAGCCCTTTGTCCAGCGCTGAAGAACACCATGATCAATGTACTCTTGTGTAGCCGGGTAGGAGAAGGTGAAACCCAGTGGCAATGATGTCAATCCCTCCTCGCCGTGGTGGAACTCAATGAATTGCTGTATGCAGTCGGCGATGTATTCCCACAGCTCCTCAGCGGTTCCGGTCTTCAGTTCTTCCGGCATGCGGTACTTGGACTGGCAGATATCGAAGCCTCCCTTCTCTTCCGTCAAGGTAATCTCACAGACGCGGAGGTTGGTTCCACCCATATCCAAGGCAAGGAAGGTACCCCGTTCGTCTCCATCGGGGAAGTCCATAACCCAGGTAACGTTCATTGGCTGTTGAGTAGTCCTAGTGGTCAGCGTACAAGCTTCCCAGAACGGATGCGGTCAAGCTCACGATGTTACCACCCTCCACGCTGAGACCTAATCAGAAACCGCAGGTTAGCTTCATTACATTTTTCTGATGGCTACTGGGCTATCGAAAATAGATAAAAGGTAACGACTTACCCTTCTCGAGCTCCTTGACGAAGTGGTCAACCACCTGCTTGAGCTTGGCGGTGCCCACAGTAAAAATGTCCTCAAAATCCTTAATCTGCTGGAGAAGATTCTGAGGCACATCGGCCATCGATCCTGTTCCAATTGCGCTTCGAATGAGCCAACCTGCCAAATGTTTTGTAGCTTCGACCAGTTTGACCTACCCTTGCGGGATGGGGGGCGCTTGGGACCAATTCCGACCATTGTGTAATTAGAGTGTGTATTAGAAAGGAACGATAGATATGAACAATGAAAGAGATGTATATGAAAAGAATAATAAGAAGGAGAAGAGAGAGAAGGACAAAGATGAGTTGGGAGGGAAGGGGGAAGGATATTGATAACAAGAACCAGAGTACGGACTATGAGGTATCTAGAGACGCCGTGGGGCAGCGACCGGAGAAGGTCCAAGAGAATCAAGAGCCACAGACGAAGGCCCCGCACAGAACGATGAAATCACAGTGGCCGTTGATCATCCGATTCCCTCACCGGTTGGTCACTTTCCGCTGCTGTCAGTATCCAGTGGAGGATCGGAATTTTTTTGACGTTACTCTATTGATACTCCATCGGTGTCTCTCTAGTCTCTAGATACACAGTTTCTGCTCTAGACTAGGGGTTGGGGTTCATACGGAGTCCCTCCGCACCTTTCAAAAGGATTATCTAAATAACAGCAAATGATTGAGAATCGAATCCCCAAAAGCCGGTGAGACTTGGGGAATCCTTTTGTGATGCGTCAATTCCGCTACTTGCGCCTCGAATGATTCAGTAAGCAGAGCTCATCACTTCTAGAACAATGCTTATTCTGGTTGCTATACCTCTCTATCTAGATGGTTTAGTCTATATCTGTTGTCTTTTCATGGCCAAAGCCATCTTCATTAATTCATTATTTGCATACCATGTTTCGTCTATCTCTGACTTATATAAATTCTCATTCAGATTCTCATTATTCTCATTCATGTGAGAAAGCTCAGGAACCATCCGTAATCCGCCAAAAGCCACATCAGCGCCATCATTAAATTGTGGATGCAGTGGTCACACTAAAGGACTCACATGGCTCACATGGCATTTGACTTCCTCCTTTGACTGGCCAAATGAGGGAATACATGTCCCAAACCCCCCTCGCTGTCATGTACAGCTGTTGGTTGTAGCTCCCTTGCTTTCGCTTCTCCTGTGACAAGCGCATCCTGGGCAAGACCTCCGTCCATCTCCTCATCGCGGGGGATCCCGGACGACTGGCCCAGGGGCTGTTTATTCGACAGGGCGTGGGCACGGTGGGCTGCTGCTGCTGCCGTCCCTTGTCGGATGCCTGCTTCCTTCTGAGAATGACGATCCAATTGCTGCCGCACTCTTTCATGATACGCCCCGGAAAATCCCAGTGCTCGATCAACTTCTTCTGTCAGGCGCTCCACCTCATCGTGTAGTCGTTCGTCTCTAGTCCATAAAGGTGCATTCTCGGCGTCTCGTGCCTCTTTATCAGGATTCGTTCTCTCCCACAGTTCCTCAAGTTCCTGTTCCCAACCGAGCGCTCGTGCGAACTTTCGCACACCAGCATCACAATCGCCCAGAAGAAGAACATCGTCGGGACGAGACCCCATACTGCCCACACGTTCCATATTGATCAGCACTCGCGGAACCCCGTCACGACAGAATGCCGGTAAACTAGCAAATGGATGTACAGAGAGACTCGTCCCCATAACAATACATAAATCTGCTTGTTCTGGGAGACTTCGGTTCGAGTGGAATTCCTCGGGCAGCGCTTCTCCGAAGAAGACGATGTCTGGTTTCACAAAGCCATTGCAATGAGGACAATGAGGCACCTCCCCCTTGGCAATAGCCTCTTTCATCTGAGGTTCGGGGTACGCCGCTTTGCAGTCAATACAGTGTTGTGACGCGAAGCTACCATGGGCCTCGACGATTTTCTCCTCTGGGACTCCCGCCAGGCGCTCCAAGCAATCAATATTCTGTGTAAAGTGCTTCAACAGCAATCCCTTATCGTGCAGTAACTTGACAAACGAATGCGCAATAGTTGGTCGATACCGGCCAGGCGCCAACTCACGCGCCAAGGCGTAGAACGGTCGAGGGTTCTCTCGAAAGTAACTGATATCGAACACATCTTCCGGCTCTGGCAGATCTAGGAAGGCTAGATTGGAGTAAAGACCTGTGTCTGGGGAGCGAAAATCGGGAATGCCCGCCGAGGTACTGATTCCAGCCCCTACCTGCCATCACCACCGTTAGCTGCTACATGCGGGGCAACGAGGGGCGATCTCGGGACATGGCATACCATGACCACAATGCGTCGCACATCTTTCTCTTTTATATATTTGGCTACTGCTTCAATATTCCGCGCTTCCAGTACCGACGGGGAAGTTCCCTCGTCGACCACCGTGGACGTTTCACTGCCCATGTTGCGTGAGGAATATCCAACGCTGGGCCGCTATCCTGGTGTCTGGAACTTCGTCGGCGGTCAATGGCAGCTGGTCAAGGAGCTCAACTCTTATTAATTATGTTTGAGAATATAGACTTTGAATAGTAATAGAAGCACAAAGACGTAGCAAAGAAATTCACCGTTGATAGCGAACCAGTAGCAAATGACGTCGAGTTGATATCTCAGAAGGAGAAAATCCCCCGATTGGGTAGTCGGTGGGCCTGGCTGCCTGAGGCTTGCAATTGTACGGCAGTTGGGCTCCAAGGAGAAGATTTGACGTTGTATTCTCATGCGTCTTGGATCATGAATTATTGCTAATGCAAAAGACTGTTCTTCAATATGAAGTCCATCGCCCTTCTCTCAAACGAGTGAATGTTGCAGTTCTAAAGCTACAAGCAGCTGCCTAAGGTATAAGCTTCTCACCGCCCACTGGTTGCTGTCTCTATCTACTCCGTATCTGGGTCGGATGAATCTCCGCGCTGTCAACAAGACACATTGCATCTTCCATCGACGCTGCGTCGACCAGGGGTCCGGACACGATGTCCAGGACAGAAAGCTCCATCACCAACGGGCATGTGGTCTCGTCTGCAGAGCAAAATGGAGAACGCGCGAACGCTCACCTCCCAATTGACATGTTCAACGCCAGTTCCGTTGCGGATATCAAGGCCGCCCTGTCACACCTCCATGAGCAAGAAGTCGCCGTCACCGCTCGGCTGGACGCCCTTGTCGCTTCACAGAAAGATTTCTCCCGGGAGCTAGGGCGATTGGATCTTCTTCGCGCCCATTTGGGTTCCCAGACCAGCACCACCCACGCAATCAGCCATGGCATGTTGTCCGACGCTGCGGCTACCGCAGGTCGCATCTCGAGTGCCGTCCGTCGGCTCGACCTAGAGCAGTCAAGAGTGAAAGCGACGCTGGAGGTGGTAGAGCAGGTTTCGGAGCTGAAGGCTTGCGTTCTGGGGGTTGCAGGCTCTATGGGTGCTCCGCAGGACTGGGAAACTGCGGCCAGTTATCTGAACAGGGCGTCCAAGATACCTCCGGAGGTAGTTCATGGTACTTTTGCGGCTGAGCTGGTGCCGACCGCTGAGGTTCCTGACCCGCCAAACGTCACTCTGGATAATGCAGCTGAATCGCTTTGCGGCTTATTCCTGCGCGAGTTCGACAAGGCCGTCAAAGAGAACGATGGCGCTAAGATCACACGGTTTTTCAAACTGTTTCCTCTCATTGGTCGCTCTGAAGTTGGTCTGGATGTGTATGGGCGCTATGTATGCCAAGGGGTGGCATCGCGGGCGCGAGCGAACCTCAATGCCGGCACGGGAGGTGCTCACAGCAAAGATGGCTTCTTCTACGCAAATGCGCTGACGAAACTGTTTGAGCATATCGCCCAACTCATCGACGGACATGGAGCCCTTGTGGAGCGCCATTACGGCCCGCGGAAGATGAACAGGGTTATCGAACGTCTACAGCTCGAGGCGGATCTCCAGGGTGGGATTATTCTGGACACCTGGAGCGACGAGCGGCACGTCGATCGCAAGCTCACAGACATCAAATCGTATGCCTTTACTTTCTTGGTGCAGAGTTTCCTTCCCGCTCAACGCAGTTCAACCCCTCGGTCGAATTCCCCAGCAACTCGCGATGGGCTCCCCGCTGAAGATGAGGGGGTAGACATGAAAGAGATCGACGGGCTACTAAACGAAATGGCAGTCATGCTTGGCCGCTGGTCTCTCTACTGTCGATTCATCGCTGAAACTTGCAATGTAAGTCATCTGACTGTCTCAACAAGCCTTTTGGATGGACCTATTCAGAAAGCTGACTCTGTGCAAGGCCACCGAGGACGAAAGTCAAAAGTTTACGTCACCCAAGTTTCTACAGGAAGCGAGCCTTTCCAAGAAAATCAATGACCGTCTAACCAACCCATTCAATACTATGACCACCTTTTTCTTCCGTCGCTCGGTTGAAAAGGCATTTCAGTTGGATGAACAGCCTTCTGGTCTGACCCTGCACCCACAAAAGCCATTGAAGGCAGATCCTCCTCATATCACATCAGCAGTGGACGACATCATGTACATCGTCAACAAGGTCTTGCAACAGTCACTGGCCACGTCGCAAATCTCGGTAGTGACTAATGTCGTCCCCACGTTGTCACGGGTTCTTGGATCGGACTTCATCGGAATGACACAACGAAAGATGCGTGATGAATGCTATCCCAAAGCGCCCGTCCAGGGGGCTCAGCCGCCTGAACAGGCCGTGATCTCCTTTCTCGTCTTGATCAACAACCTGGATGTTGCCGTCGACTACATACGCCGCATTGTGCAGAACCACACCGAGACGAAAAAGACCATCACTGGTCCGGATGGTCAGGTCGAGGAAACGGACCAGCTGAGGTCCCTCTTCCCCGTGCCTGCAGAAGCCCAACTTGCGGCGCAAACGCTGCAGACCCTCGCCTCGTCCTTCGAGTCCAAGGTGAATGACCTCCTATCCGACGGCATCCAGGTCGTATTCAACAATGTCGTCAAGAACCGCCTGCGACCTATCCTTGCAGATGCTTTCCGAGACATCGAATACCAACCACGGGACGACAGCGACCCAACCAGCACAGTCTACCACGACTACGGCGACGGAGACGAGGACGTAGACGACGGCGCCAGCCGAGCGGAGCTGGTCCGTCCTCGCTTCGCAGCCAGCTGGACCGAGCTCCTCCTCCCCATCTCCCGCATCCTCACAGCCTCGGCCTTTGATCGCCTTCTGAACGTCACAGTCGCGTATCTGGCCCGGCTGCTCGAGAAGCGACTATGGTCGTACCACGGGCGGATCAACGCACTGGGCGCCACCCGACTCGAGCGCGACGTCTCGGGCGTGGTAAGCGCAGCGGTGGACGTAGGCGGCGCCCAGGGGGCCTCGGGACGCTACCGACACCGGGAGGCGTTCGCCCGCTGCCTGCAGATGGTGCTGGTGATGGGAATGGACGACGACGAATGGGAGGACGTCACCCGCGGAGGCGAAACGGCAGAGGTACTCGATAAGCTCAATCGGGAGGAGCGCGCGCGGATCCGCGCAATGGTGCGGCGGTGATCTTGCGTCGTCTTTTCCTTTACATAGTGTATACTGTATAGACTCGCCGCGAATGTAAATAGCATAACCATCAGATAGAAGCATTTACTGCTGAACCCGGCAACAACCCTTGTCCTCCCATCGTCGATGCGGATCAGAAAGACGTAGCTCGGCCCCAGCTCGCGTGCAAATCGAAAACACAGTTACTAGTGCAGAACTTACGCCTCTCATGGAAACATGATCTCCACATAGACAAATTCGGAACAGCGCGGGTGGGTGGATATACCAAAAGTAGCCAGGCTTAGGAGGTTAGAGCAGACGTAATACCATCCCGCTGGACCGGCGCTACGCTATGCGAAAGTGAAGTAGTCACATATGGTGCTAACCAAAATATACACAATGAACAAGCACAGATTATCTGATAGTTATTGAATTATTCAAGTCTATACACGTGGTATCGTTGCTAGCTCCAATGACTGACATCCCCGCCTGTCAAAAAAAAAAAAAAAAAAAAAAAAGTATATACAAAACAGCCGTAGATCAGGACCAGATGAACGCCGATGTTGCTAAACCAAGAGTCACAGACAGCGTGGGATGAGAAAAAAAAGAATACACATGGAGTCACTGGCGTAGCCCCAGGCGACGCAGCATTGAAAAGCGGAAGCCGAAAAAACGATGCTGGATATCTCGAATAGTTCGCTCGGAAAAGAGACAAGAACAAAAAGGGGGGGGGTCGCGGTTGAAGAACGGGGGTTAACTGAAGGTGGAAGAAAATGAGGCAATGAGGCAGGAGATGAGGTTATTATGATGAGCCGTCTTGCTTCTCGTCGATTTGAGGAGCTGCAGGTGTCTCGTGCGTCTCTTGGACCTGCGCAGGACGATTGTGCTCGGCGACCTGTCGTGGAGCCGGTGCGATCTTAATCTCCTGAATGCCAGAGTCGCCTTCACTGCACCCTCGGCTGTCGATTCCCACGGGAGTCTGGCCTTCGAGCATCTCGCTGTGCTCTCCGATGCCATAGCGGGCAGCGTGCGGGATCTCGTGGCCGTCTTCGAGCTGATCGTGCTTCTGCGGCGTCCAGGCGAGGTAATCACGGCGAACTTCGACATAGTCGTATGCAAACTCGCCCAGCTGGTCGTCGTCCATGCCGAGCAACTCTGCCTCTTCGGAGGCACGCAGTTTCAGGCCAGGAATAGCGTTGATGGCGTAGGCAATGATCGCGGAGACGACGAAGGAATAAGCGCAGGAAGCCACGATAAAAGCAATCTGAATGTAGAGCTGCTTGTAGTTGTGGATGACCCATCCACCAACTCCTGATCCAGTGTTCACGCCGTCCAAACCGACGATTGCATCATCTGCGAAAAGGGCGTTGAAAATAAGGCCAACGATTCCCGCGACACCGTGTTCGGCGAACACATCCATAGAGTCATCGATACGGATCCAGTATTTAACTATACAAAGAATATGGTTAGCAAAGCGAACTAGGCGTCATAAACTTTGTCAAACTTACCCTTGGTGGCATAGTTGCAAACAACGCCAGTCACGATACCGAGAATAACACTGGCCCACGGGGTCAAAAAGCCAGAGGCGGGAGTCGCAGCAACCAGACCGGAAATAGTGCCGGAACACCAGCCAACCATCGACCACTTTCTAGCCAGACGCCAATCGAGAAGAACCCAGGTAATGGCTCCAAAGGCAGCAGTCAGGTTTGTGTTCCAGCAAGCCATGGTGGCTCGAATGTTGGCACCGAAGGAAGAACCACCGTTGAATCCAAGCCACCCGAACCAGAGGAAGACAGTTCCGAGAAGAATGAGCGAGACGTTGTGAGGGCGGAAGTTCAACATCATGCGTTCCTGACGACGACCGAGGACCATCGAATAGGCGAGGGCTGCCATACCGGATCCGATTTCGACAGGGCCACCACCGGCAT